CAATCCCTGTTCTCTTTTGGGATTTGGGGCACACACACACGTCCAGTATGTTTTTCAAATCCCCAGAAAGAGGATTCTAACGTGCGGTCAGCCCCGTGGGCTTCAGCTCCCATAATCAATCACTTGGGTACAGGGCCAGCCCACTGCGGGTTTTCTGTTTATTTGCTGTTTCCATTGCTGCGCAGAAGATCTGCAGCTTGAAGTAATGCCATTTGTCTATTTTTGGTGTTGTTGCCTTTGCATTAAGCGTCTTATTCAAGCAAAAGTGGCCTACGCTAATATTTTCTTTCCTCAAGTAATTTTATACTTTGGGCTTTAATCCACTTAGGCCTTTAATCCATTTCAGGTTTTTTTTAGGCTTGTTATTGTGCCCATGTCCTCACTGAAAAGAGAGACAGAGAGACAGAGACAGAGAAATTACCCCCTGGTGGATGGCCACACTACAAACCTTTCTCTATGTTCCTCTTGGAATTTTGAGCACGCACACATACATAACCAGCATGATTTTCAAGCCACTGGGTCCGTGATTTGAACACACAGTTGGCCATGTTGGGTCCAGCTGCCCTGACCTCCATGCCACTCACTGGCCCTCAAGTTAATTTTGTAAACAGTGAAAGATCTGGCTTTATTTCCATAATCTGTCTCTCTCTGGCAAGCATGCATGCTCTATGACAAAAACTTTAAAAAAGTAAACAAAAACAGCAGTACTATACCTTTGCAACCTGTCAACAGCGTGTATATTTGCGCCTTTCCTTATTAAAAATTCTACCATCTGCTGGTTGTTTTCAACCACAGCAAATAACAATGGAGTTAAGTAGCTCTGTAAAACAGTAAGACCAAGTTATAATTCACAAAGTGACATATTTCTCAACTTTTCTCAATTGATAGACTTACTTATAAAAGATCTGATTGGGGCCAGCAGGTGGCACACAGACCAAGGTGTGGGAACCACAGAAGTATTGAGGTCATCACTGACTGTGTGCTTCGAGTGCCGGATCCAATGACTTGAAAACCATGATGTGTCCGTGTGAATGCATGCAAAAATCCCAAGAGGAGACTGGAGAAGGGACTGACTGAGGTGTGGCCATCCCCCCTAAGGGGGTGATTTCTCACTTTCCTTCTCTCTCTGCCTCCCTCTGGTGTGCGCACATGCCCTACAGCAAAAACAAACAAGCAAACAAACAAAAGCTCTTTAACTTATAATATAAAAAGTAACTAAAAAGCAGTCCCTCCCTCTCAGTCCTCTTTGAAACACCCCTCCTCTGTCTTACCACAGGAACTCCAGTCACCTCTAGAACTCACTTCAAACATTCACCAGTTCCAAAAATCTTTGCTCCTATTACAGCATTTATCATGGTACACTGCAGTCCCTGAATTGCTCCCTCAGCCAAGACCTTCTGTAGGGCGGGACCTATTAGACTATTTAAATGGCTGATTCTGCCAAAATAGGTTAACAGTTAGTTGTTTTTCTCTCCTTTCTCACTTAATCAGACCCCATTTACCACCAACCTGGTTTCCTCAAAGTCCTCTAAAACTGATCTCCAGACAGGTTACAATTCACTCACTCTTCTCTAAAATTGATCTCCAGACAGGTTTCCCATATTGAGAATTATTCTTCCCAAAATTGAAGAGCTCTTTGTCTAAATATTTAACCTAGGACACACACACACACACACACACACACACACACATAAATAAACCAACTGAAAACGAAATCTTCATGGCCTTTCCCTCTACTATCTAATTTCAAAATTAGCCTGAATATTTCTGGTTTCTCATTTCCCTTTCCATTCTTTTCCTCTTAAACTTCACCCCTGAGAGCTACATCGCTTTTATAGTTTGTTTTGATAAATTTGTCAATAGCATAATGATGTCCAATGATTGAAAAATGTTTTGCTTTATTTGAGTTTTAAGAGAAAGCCTATTTTTGGCACCAGCAGTCAGTGTAATGGCTATGTCGCTGCACTCCCATGTAGCCGACTATGGTTCAAGTCCTGGACCCAGTGGCTTAAACTCACACTGGGTGCATGTGCATGTGTGTCCAAGATCCCGAGGGGAGAATGGAGGAGAAAGGATTGTGGTGTGGCCATCCCCCCTGGGGGGCTGTGATTTCTCACTTTCTGTCTCTCTTTCTGGCGAGCACATGCGCTCTATAGCAGAAACCTCTCCAATAAAAAAAAAGGAGAGAGAGAAAGCCTACTTTCAAGGCCAATTTTGCTTTTTTCACTATTGTTTTACACTAAAAATATAAAAAATGGGGCAGAAAAAATATTTGAACAAACATACCTTGCCTTTACTAAATATGGTGTTTTACAAA